AAGATGCTCTTTCAAATGTGAAGGTAATTTTTATCCATCAAAGTGGTATGAGAAGTTATGGGCACATTGTTGTTGGTGCAACCCAAATTTGAAAAGTTTTGTAAATCCTCCATCAAAATAAAGGAATACAAAGTGGTAGTACATTTGGTACATTTGACCTCTTAAAGTGATGTTGAGGTGAGTCACATAAATTTGATAATGCCAAAGCATGACAATGAGTTTCTAATAAAAAACTTATGGAGCATGTACAAATGGTTATGGTCCATTTCTTGAAGAAAATGTGACTTGTGTTCGTATGGATAAGAACATATTCAGGTATTGTTGGATAAATGTCACATCTCACCTCTAAGGGAGGTTTGAGATATTGAAAAGAAATATTTTGACATAAATGATTATTTGGTCATATACTTTGAGTACATCACAAATATTGTGGTATGTTCTATCATGAACTATTGCTAATAAAAGAAAGAAATAATTCTTTCCTATAAAGGTTGAGGCCATGACCAAAATAAATATTATTGTGTGAAAACACAAATTTGTCATTGATTGTCAAGAAATAAGTCTTGCATGTATTCTCCTTGAAGGAGATGGTCACCATAAGAATGGTGTTGTGAAATTTGTGGCAATACACAAACTTAATTAAGAGTTTCGGAAGAACTAATTTGTTACTATCCAGAAATGAAAATAGTTCATAATATTGAGGTTGTAGTAAGTCTCAAAAGAAAATTTTTAAGTTTCGAAGGAATTAATTTTTTTTATTATATTGAGACTGTAAATTATTGAAAGATTAAATATCTTCAAATTACTACAATCAAAGCGGGTTATGAATATTTACATAAAAGGTTACCCGCCTTTCTCTTGTTTGTTGTATACAAATATAGGCATGATGATGGAATCACATGCAAAAGTAAACTAGAAGTTTATTATAATAAATATCAGTTGGCATAACCGGTTGACCATTTCGGTTCAAATGTGATGCAAAAGGATTAAGAATTCATTTGGTTATATGTTGAAGAAATAAAAGATTCTTCAAGAATTCTCATGTGCTGCTTGTTCTCATGATAAAATGATCATTGTACCAGCTAAGGTTGGGATTGTATCCCCTAAAATTATTTGGAACATATACAAAGGTGAATATGGGCATGTTCACCTGCCATGTGGACCGCTTACTACTATATTTAATAGATGCATCTATAGTTAGGTAACATGTGCATTTGTATCAACTTACAAATTGATTTTTGTAAGGTTGTTTTCTCAAATTGTTAAATTAAGAGCACATTTTCAAACTATAAAATTATGTTGATAATACTGGTTGGTTTAGCAGAAATTGTTTGCCTCCAATTATAGCTAGACCATTGATTATGAGAAAAAATCTATCAAATAAAATTTGGTATGAGATGAGTTTATTTAACGTGTATGCATCAAGCCAACAATGTTCTCCCATCACAATTGGTTCAGGGTCAGGAACCAAATAATTTCCATCTAAAAAATTGATGTGTGCACATATGATTTTATTGCTCCACCACGCACAAAGATGGATCCCCAAATGAGGTTCGGGGTAGATGTTAGATTTCCTAACATTAGGGGGAGATATGTGTGGGGTGAATTATCTACATCCTCGTTAAAAAAAAGTGAACTTGAAGTTCAAGAGATAATTCATTTGCAAAATGTTGCAAATAATTTGCCATATGTATTTGCTGATCCAATATTTTAATTAAGCTGCAAATGCTCCAATAAATAGTCCTTGAAGGACAAAGTCTATGATACGCCAGAAGCGTGACAAACCAATCGATTCCAAACGTAAAACTCCTTGAAGAAGGAGATGAACAAATTATCAAAATGGTCATGATAATGAGGTAAGTGCTTTGAAAGAGCACTATGACATAACACTTCATAAAACCTTGGCAAAGGTTCAGGTACCTGAAAATGATGAAAAATGAAGAGACCTCGATAAGTTATGTTGTATTGGAATCAAATCAAAATGACCGTCGACGGTATCTTTGATATGAAGTAACACCCAATGCTATAAATGGTTACGAGGATCTTAAATTTGAATATGTCACATAGTGTGGACAGATAAATGATTGGCACTATTCAAGTATATTTTGTTTCACTTAGAAAAGTGATGTTTTTGATCTTATATTTCATGAATCAAAATACAATGTCAGTGTGGTACAAATAAATCATTGTGCGAAAGTATAACCGCTAGATATAAAGTGTGGTTTGTGCCTCGGGGCATAAAGGGTTTTCGCAAAAAAATGACATTATTAAATGGAGATATATTCTCCAGTGGTGGATGCTTGTTTCAGTCTGGCAATAGATGAAATACTTGAATATGCATAATGAATGATTATTATGTCTAACTAGACGATGAAAGTTATATGAAAATCCTTGAAGGATTTGAAAGGTCTTAAAGCAATTCCATTGAGTACCTAATGGTTTTGAGACTGCTTAACACAGAGAAAGAATCTTTTTGATCTCATGACATTGATTTAAAATGTCATGTATTAGTGCAATTGGTGCACTTACAGATTGCTGGTTATGCAAATGCTAGAAGATTATTTGATATACATAACGAAAGTTATGTGAAAGGATTGTCATATTATCATTCAAGTTATGACAAGAAACTAACAAAACAAGTGATTCAACACATAGAAGATGTGTGATTTTCTTTCAAAAGAAAAGACGAGCTTTAATAAAATTGAAATGATCAATTCCCGAGTCAGAAATGATTTGATTATGTACATGCGTAATATTTATTTGATCTGCATAAAGCTCGATTGCAAATGGACTATTATTTACATATGGAGATACAACAATATCTTGGAATTTCAAAGAATCACATTAGTAACCACTTCTTCAAATCATGCAGAAATAATATTGATCTATGAATTAAATCGGGAGTGTGTTTGGTTGGAATCATGATCTATCATATTCAGAAAATATGTGATTTTCTTTCGAAAAGGATATTCCAACCACCATATACGAAAATAATATATAGCTCAATTGAAGGGAGGATAAATCAAAGGAGATCGGACAAATCATATTTCACCAAAAGTCTTTTTCACACATGATCTTCAACAAAATGGTGAGATTGACGTTCAAAGACCTATTCAAGTGCTAATCTTGTAAACTTATTCACTAAGGATTGCCAACATCAATATTTGAGAAGTTGTGATTGGAATGCATCGTCTCCGAGTTATCAAGTAAAATTTTTATCAGGGGGAGAAAATACGTGTTGTACTCTTTTCCTTTACCATGGTTTTATCCCAATTGGATTTTCCTGGTAAGGTTTTTAACGAGACAACATTCAAAGCGTATTAAAAGATATGTGTACTCTTTTTCCTTCACTAGGATTTTTTCCCACAAGATTTTTTCCTAGTAAGGTTTTAACGAGACATATTATCTGTGGACATCCAAGGGGGAGTATTATAAAAAATTATAGTGTGGATGTCCATTACTCCAAGACATTTTCTCTCACCCATTATCTTCATTACTTTCCTTCTTTATGAAGATAACCATAACCTTCAACTTTATAACCATTATTCTTGTAACATTTCACTTCCATAACCTCCTCCATTATATTCATGTTAATGTCATGTTTATGACTAACCTTTTGTATGCCTCTATGTTACACTATAAATAGAGGCATAATGGTTCATATTGTAGACACTTGAAAACTTGGAATAATAAGAAAAACTCTCATTTCTTGTCTCTCTATTTCTATTGTTTTCATCTTCTATATTTATTGTCTTGTTTTGTTTTAGTTTTACAACATATATTTGGTTGTTATAAATAAGGATCACTTTTTTGTGTGTAGCGTAAAAACGTGGGTATGTGTGTTTGTGGTTAAAACTTTTTAAAATTATAAATGGATAATTTTTAAAACTACTTTCACGGTAATTTTTTTAAAAAAAAAATTAAAATCTTTTTTTATAATTGTAATTTATTATTTTATAATTATAAATAATTAATTTTGATTATTCAGAAAATTGAAAAAATTTGTGGTTCTAACACCTAATACTTTTTGCATTTTCTATTATATATAAAAGATATAAATTTTAATTATAAATAAATTTGGAACGGTCGTTTTGTTTTTTTAGAAATGATTTTTTTTTTAAATATTGAATATGTCGTAGACTAAAAGAATCAAAATTTTACTAATTTATAAATTTGAGTTAGAAAAATAAATATGTTTTTAGAAATGCTGACATTTATCAGAATTTGTGTAAGTTGATGACATGTATCTATTTTTATATAAAATTTTGTATTTATAATTTAAATAGTTATATAATAGTTAATTTTTTATTATTTAAAATTCTAAAATAATTTGGCGCTGACATGTGACTTTTTTCTTCTCCTATTATATATAGATAGATATTGCGTGCTAAAATTAGGGATGAATCATAAAAAAAATTGTGATTTATGAAAGAATTTATTTTTTTATGGTGATTTTTTCATATGTAGTGATTTAATTTGTGAAATGATTTTTAAATTTATTTTTCTTGATATTTTTAATTATGTTTAAATCATCATGTTAATATTATATGAATATTTTTTATTTATTTATGTATAATATTGATTGAAAATTTGAATATTTATATTTTAATTTAATTAATATTTTGTATTAGATATTTAAAATAGTTTCTCTCTATAAAATAATCTTAATATTAAAAGTAAATTAATACTTATTTTTTTATTGTAATTTAACTCTCAAAAGCACATTTTAAAAAAATTAGGTAAACACAATATAATTAATATTTTCTTTTTGAAAAAAATTCTTTTTTGAAAAAAATTCTTTTTTGAAAAGCTACTTTAAAAATATTTTTAAAATAAACAATTTTTTAACAGAAATGTCAATTAGGCTATTAATCCAAGTAAAATAGTTTAGAAGAAAAACATTTTGTTGTATTATCGAAACAAATTCCACGTGACGTTGAATAGATTAAATGACCCGAAAAGAAGCAAATGAAATAATGTGGAAGCAGTTTTAAGTTTTGAGTTTTGAGTTTTGAGAGGAACACCCTTTTCTCAAATGTCCTCTTCTTCCTCGATCCAATCAATTTTCAATCTTCATTACAATTACAAGTAGCCATGTCATGGCTCCCTCGTTCTTTAGCGAACTCTCTCCGTCTCGATGAAGAAGAAGAAGAGGAAGAAGGAGACAAGGACAAAACCCAAAACTACCATTTCTCCAATTCTCGCGGGAACGAAGATTCAATTTACCAGGAAATGGATTTAGAAAATCGATTTGATAATACTGTTGATTCCTTTGATGTTAACGAAGGTGGTGGTGTTAAGGAAGACTTATCGGAGCTGAAACAAACTTTAACTCGTCAACTATGGGGTGTGGCTTCATTTCTCGCCCCTCCTCCACCTCCTCCGCCGTTGCAGGTGGTTCGGACAGTGAAATTGGATCTGAACCGGATAGAGTCGGTAGATCGATCTAATTTAAGTGGTGAATCAGAGAAGGAATATGTGGGGAATTATCTAGGATATTCGAATTATGAGGAGGAGGAGGAGGAAGTGGAGGATAGTGTTTATGATGCTGTTGGAGTAACTAATGAAGCGTTAACCTTCGCTAGAAATATAGCTCATCATCCGGAGACTTGGTTGGATTTTTCCTTAGAGGAAGAGGAGTTTGACGGTATGTTGTCTTCCTTCTGAACTTTACGTTGCCGTTGTTTAATTTTATTAATATATTTGACATGGAGTGTGTGTTTACAAAACATTCTCTAGCAAAACATTTCCATGAAAAATATTTTCTTTCATACCAAACACGCCCTAAAAGATAAATTATTTAGTCTTGGAACAGAAAAGGTTGGAATAGAATGAAATGGATAAGAATGATTTACTATATTGCAACCTTAACTAGTTTCAGATTGAGTCATATTTAATTGATTGTTTAGTTTGTGGTGATGATGTTCTTAAAGTGGATGGTTCATCACTGCTTTAGCAGCCTTCAAGGTTACAGTGTGTAGAACTCTAGGGGATGCCTTCGGACTTGGAGTCGTTGGAGAAATTCATGACAACATTCTAATACAACTCTGATTAATTAGGAACAACTTTCCCTCTGAATCATCTTATTTGAGAATAGGTTTATTGACAAAATGGAGAAACAGATCCTTGCTTGATTGCATTCTCCACTTCAAAATCTGGGGAAGTGCTCTGAAAAGCTTGATTTCCTAAGCATATGTCCAGTCTCTTAAAGATACATGCTTCGTTTCATATCCCATTCCATTGGGTATATATGCTTCCAGAATATACCAGATCTTTCAATTGACATATGTTCAGACAATGACCAAGATCTTCTACTTATAGTGCACTAGCAGTCCTCCATATCTCTCAGCTTCATCCCAAATTACATTTAGATTACTTCCTACTATCCATGGGGAATCCATGTTTGAGGATATGTCATATAAATTATCTCATAAGCTAACTCCATTAGCCCTTTCAGTACTTGCATAAATCAATGTAACGATAATCATTTGGTCAGAATCGAGATTAGTTAGAGTCAATGTTAATAGCTGCTCAGTATCTTTTTACCTCTACTTAATATTCCTCATTCGCAAACACCCTAATCTTTCTATTAATATTGTGTCATGCAGTTCCCATGCCCAGCAACAATCTATACATATCAAAGCCTCCTGATATGCTAAAATGCTGAAATGGTTCCATCAAAGCTTATATAGTTGAAGTCTTTTTTTCTATTCATCATGGCCACTCTCTCAAAGGCCTACTGAGTATTTACAGACCTGATTTTCCAAATGAGTGAGCTATTTTAAACTTCCTTTGGCATAAGCTTTCCTTGTTGTACGCCCCAACTGCCTTAGGTGGTACACTCTTCTCCCTTGCCTGCATGTTCTGCCTCCCTTCCTTCCTTGCTTTAGTTGTCTGTCTTGGAGATAAATATCTAGTAGTTTGCTCTATCAAAGTGCTTGAGGACATGTTGACATTCTCTACTTCATTATCATCTCCAATGTCATCTCCCTTTCCAGCATCATTGATCTTTTCCTCCTGTATATTTGAGAGCCCGACTCTTCTTTGTCTTCTTCTCTACCAGTTGTATTTTCCACTGGTTGATTCCCAGTATCATTTCTTTCCTGTGTATTGTCCCCATTATCTGTTTTCTGAACCCATTCCTCAATGTGATGCTCTATATGTGTTAAGGATACATCTTCTCCCTCCTTACTGTTATACTCTTCATTTTTAGCCACATTAGAGATATCATCAGGAGGGTTTTCTAGTATATCTGTCTTATTACTTCATCCTGATGTTCAGCTACTGAAGTTTCAGTGTCCTGTATCTCTATTGGTTCCTTCTGTGCTTATTTTCCCCCTGTATTTTGATCGTCTTTTCGCTGTATATTTGTCTCCTCCATATTTTTTCTGTTTGCTGATCTCCACCTTGTCCTTTTTATCATTGTTTTCCATAATCTCCTTGTTTTTGCCTTTGCTTTCCTGATCAGTGCTTTCAGATGCCACCAACTCTTGTTTTCAACCACTTTTATTCCCTTGCTGCTTCCCAAAAGATGACTCAACCCATTTCTTTGTTGAAGCATTGTATTTTCCTTCTAGAGTTTTTGATTTTTGTTTCTATTTGTCTTTATTACTTTCCTTTTCCTTTTCCAATCCACCTGAGTAGCAAACTCTTTGCTTGTTTCTGTGCCTGATTCTAATCTGTTAGTGTTAGCATTATCCTTCTTGTCTACTTGTTTAACCTTGCCTTCCTAGATTTTTTCATTGGCAATTCGGCATTCCTTTCACTCTCCTGTTTCTCACTACATTCCAGCTATTTGGATCATTCACATTGCCAACAGTCTTCCCTTACTATAAAACTTCACCAGAGGTTGTTTTCCTGTCCTTGATTCCTCCATCTCGCCATTAGCAGTTGTTTTGTTCTTCAATTCCTCATCTTCCTTTTTTGGTTTTTCTGTTTTTCCTTTTATGGCCTGTACTCTTGATGCAATATACAACATTTTGCAGATCATGTCCTTGCAATATACACTTCACACAATATTTTGGCAAATAGTTATATTGAATCATCTGCCATTTTGATCTAATTTCTCTAGTTCTACATCCAAACAGTTGATTTGAATCCATTTGTCAAGTTTCTTCAGCAAATCCAATTCCAATTTTACTCTTGTGCAACTAGGTCGTGTATGATTATTTGAAGCCTTATCAATTACTAGCTGAAAACCTACTACGTGTGCCATAAAAACAGAGATTCTTTATCAAATAGATTGGTAAGCAAACCTGGAAAAAATATCTATGTTAGTACAGTTATTGTCTCCTCTCCCGGATGAAACCAAGGATCCCACTCAAGAATCGAAATGGGAAAATTCTGTTTTTGACTCGTAATTCCCATACATGCGACATCAACGTTGTAGCATAATCTTCATTTCAATCAAAATATGTCACTCCTCCAAAAATCCAATATTACAATGAACCTTTAATCTCAAACTGTGTAGGAATACTTTTTTTTGAGTTCATACGAATCTGGTCTTCCATACGAGAATTTGGCTCTAACTGTGTAATTATAGATTTTGTCTAATGCACAGTCGATTAAGTTCCTTCTTTGTGCAAGTGATCGTAGGTTCTCCATTCAAGTACTTAATGGGTTTTATGTCAACAGGATCACGCTTTTGTATGTATTTGTGAATGTGTTTAGGGCTGCTGTGTGTTTGGATGTTGTTGGGGGATGGTTAGCAGGCTGATCAACCACCAGAGGTGACTAGCCGCCGGCTGGTGAGGCCATTGTTGCGGTCGTATGTGCTATGGTTTCGCCAGGGTTTAGCTAGAGAGCGTTTAGATGTCCGTGATCATAAACACTGGTATTCCCAACGTAAATTGTAACTTTTTACACATCAATGATTAATGAAAACTCTTTTTATTCGCATAAGTTGAAGTATAAACATATCAAGCATACCAATTTATGGTCCAAAAAAGTGTGCCGGACAAGTCGGAAGAGATTGTGCTGTCCTTAGACTCTTTCAGCAACTTAGTTTCTATCGACTCTGTGTTTATCTACTTTTAGATATTGTTGCGGTCGTATGTGTTATGGTTTCGCCAGGGTTTAGCTAGAGAGCGTTTAGATGTCCGTGATCATAAACACTGGTATTCCCAACATAAATTGTAACCTTTTACACATCAATGATTAATGAAAACTCTTTTTATTCGCATAAGTTGAAGTATAAACATATCAAGCATACCAATTTATGGTCCAACAAGCGTGCCGGACAAGTCGGAAGAGATTGTGCTGTCCTTAGACTCTTTCAGCCAACTTAATTTCTATTGACTCTGTGTTTATCTATTTTTAGATACTTCATTAGTCTCTTTATGTCATTGTTGTTCTCCTATGTGCATGTATATCAAAGGGATTTTTCTGGTGCAAGCCCGTAATAAAGAAAAGGAATGGAAATTTTTGAAAATAATAAGAGGAAAATTGACCAAAAAAAAGAGGAAGGAAAAACTTACAATTCGAGGTGCGCACAAGTTGGCTTGGACACTATGGTTACTGAAGTACAAAGAGAAATTATGGCAGCTTATGATAACACTTGTCTCTTTCCATTTCTAATTGATCGACCTAGTTGACTTTCCATGAATATTACAGAAGAGAAACTAATTACCTGGTACTGGGTGCTGGTGCGAGGTGGGAAGTATCCCGTGGAATTAGTCGAGGTGCGTGCAAGCTGGCTCGGACACCACTGTTATTAAAAAAAAGCTAATTTGAATTTAAAGCCAGTGCTAATTGTGCTTAAATTGAGTGCAAATTGCTGACTGAAACAGAAACATTAATGCAGTGAAATTTGGTGCTTCTGATTAGAGAGAGTATCTAATTTTCTTTCAAAGATCACTGCCTCATTTGGATAGTCGAAACTCTTCTTTCTTTCCTTTGTTAATCATGTTAGAATATGTAGGGATTACCATGAAAGCATCCTTTGATATACATACATAAGTACACATTTATAAGAGTATGTAGGCAGAGGCGTATCCAGGATTTTGAGATGATGGGTGCACTGTTATAAAAAGGTTGATCTATGATATAAATTTGATCGGTTCGACATATATATATATATATATATATATATATATATATATATATATATATATACACAAATTACCACTTAGAGAAGTGTTATCTAATTTTAGAAAGAAAAATAAAGCAAGATAAATATAAAATTCAAATTTCTAACCTCGCGGAAAGAGGTGCACCCAGTCATAATGGCATTATGTGATACTTCAAGTGTGGGTTCACACATCTTTATTTCAATATTTAAAAAAAAATATAACACTACTATATATGATCTCGGTAGGGGACCATGGGTTCACGTGAACCCGGTGATCCCCCCTTAGATACATGTAGGTATTCCAATCCAAAAAAGTATGTATGTACATGTGGATACATACATTTATAAGAGTATGTAGGTATACTGATCAAAAAAAGTATCTATGTACATGTGTTTATATACACATTTATAAGTACAAATGTATGTATGTATGTTTATATATCTTTGAAATATTGTTGATACTCAATGGGATCCTTACTCTATGCTTTTCAGTTGAAAGCGTAGTAAACTTCCAAAAACTATCATTAATATTTCCTTATCCTATATTTAGATTTTGAGATGTCTGAAACCCAACAAAAGCATGCATTTGCTGTTGAACGTCTGGCACCAAGATTAGCTGCACTCAGAATTGAACTTTGCCCTGTCCATATGAGTGAGGGTTACTTTTGGATGGTTTATTTTGTTCTTCTCCACACAAGACTTAATAAACATGATGCTGAGCTTTTGTCTACACCCCAGGTATGTTAATACTATGCTATAAGATCATTATTGAAGTGAGTTACACAATCCTGTTGATAAGTCAACAAGTGGTACATATTTTGGGGTTAATTTCTGATTTTTAAAGCAGCAGCTGTTTGAGTTGCAGTCTGGAAAGTTTATGCTTTCATCTAGAGTAATTTGCGATTTGCACTCCGAATGTATGCACTCTTTCTTGTCTTACACCTTATCCTATATTTTTAATGATTTGCACCCTAATCACAAAATCATAAAAAGTCTCATTTTTCAATTATTTAAAGGAATAAAATAGAAAATTACATATAAAGAAAAATAAAAAGTGGTTTGATTAAAAATGAAAGCAATACTAAATACAAGTCATTTGCTGCTTCTTTTCCATTATAATGAAGAAACGATCATTCATTTCTAGTACATTTTCTTAGGGGTGAACAAAATCGAACCGCAAACTACAAATTGAGTCAAATCGGAAAAAAAACTCTGCCTAATGGTTTAGTTTGACTTGATTTGGTACTGAGAAAAAAATCCAACTATACTTTGGGTTGATTTGGTTTTATCTAAAATAAAAATGTCAATCCAAGACCAAACCAATCCAACATTATATATATATTTTTAAAATTTTATACATAATTTCTTAGTATAATATAATTTATATTTATCTTTAAGTTTTTCATAATTTTTATATTTTATATCTCATTGTACGTGTATTGAGAAAGAAAGACCAGAACAATCAATTATGTTGTTGGTAGAAAGTAATTTAATTATATTATTATTATATTTTTAAATCTTAATAAATATAATAATTTGTTAATTTTTCTATTTTATGCTTGATATGCTAATAGCTAGTTTCAGTGTACTATTTATTTTGTGTGATCATTTCTTCAGCTTGTGGAAGCAAGGTCTCTGTGGATGCAAGAACCGCAAAAGAAGACAAAACCCGACTCAGATTTTTTTGGTATGAATACACTTTTCATGAAGGAGAGCACATATTCACCACATGAAAGCTTTGATTGTACCTTGCCCGAAGATGCTCACTGTAAATATTTTATGCCCCAAAGAAGTTTTGGATTTGAGCGTACAACTTACCATAGCATTCATGACATTGAAACTGAGAAGCTCGAGCATGGAAGTACAAAGATCCAGTTTATTGATGAGTCTATTATTGTAGAAAATCCTCCTAGTAAGATCTTAGAAAAGAAGTTGGTGGCTGGTCCATCTAAACCATTGTTCTTGGATTATGATGAGCATGAGGATGATTGGGTACAAGATATTGAAGAGTCAGAGTGCTACTCTGGCACCGGCATTTTAATGGGAAATGAGGAGGAAATTTCATTTAGTGATCTTGAGGATGATATTGATTGTTCGATGCCAGTGAAATCAAAGCTATTTTAGAAAATTGGTAGCATCACCCAGTATCTCCTGAACTGGCTTCTCGCCAGAGCTTCTGATTTATTCTTGTTGGACCCATAGCATGCTATGACCTCGTCTGAAGGGGAATAAAGTGTGGTTGGATGTTTCCATGGTCCAGGCTCATCATGCTGAATCTTAACCTGTTCTGGCAACATGGAAGTTCACACTTCATGAGTGATATACGATCTTGCTTTTCATACTTGCTGCATTTCGGGGGTCCCATTTTTGGATGTCGGCCTTCCTTCTATCATGAACGTCACAAGCAAGCTATTGCGAGATGCCTAAAATTGCATCATAGTGTAAATTTGTAATCCATGTGTAATTGTAAAGTGGGTTTCTTCCTTTTGATATACCTTCAATTCATTTCATTTTTTAGGTCGTATGTGTATCTGGGCAAACACATAATTGCTAGTTCCCAAAATCGTGATTATATCTGTACATAAGACTTTTGAATGTCCTGTTACAGATTGAACTTTCCATGTAAGGTATGGATAAATATCTACCCCGTGAATCAAGTTTTGTAGTTCCATATCGAGTTTCTATGAGTATGACGCCAATTGGCAATGGATGACTAGGGTGCTTACTGTGTTATAGAGGAATGATTCGGTTGAAGCAAAATGAAGTCTTGTCAATTCAGTTTTGTTACTTAAAACAGAGATATAAGAATAAGATGGCTTGTTTTTCATGATGGCTAAAAATTATGCAGAATTTAGATTTGTGTGCCCTTCCCCTATAAGAAGTTCTCTATAATGAATCTAATTGTATAAACTTCTAATTATTAATGAAACCCTGAGAGCCGGAGTGAAATTTCCACCAAGAAATGCATCAAGTTTAAAACTGTGATGGATTTAGGAGTATGTTAGAAAGAGGGAACAAGAGGCCGAAATGGCGAAATAATGACGGTGTTTTTTTCGGATTATTGAATAGGTAATCATTTATTGATTGCACTTCAAATTCAAAAGAATTAGTACGTAAGAATTCTCTATACTTTGACAACAAAATTCCTCAAGTGAAGTTTAAGGAGGGTAGTGTTTACACACACATTATACTTACTTTTGAAGATGGAGATGTTGCATCCAATAGACCATCAGCTCAAGAAAAAGCATTACAAACCAGCTTGAAAAAAGAAGAAAAATGAGAAAAGAAGCCAAGAAAAATGTTAAATAAAAACATGACAAAGCATACTAGCAAAGAAACAACCATTACATTAAAACGATACGATAATCGAAATGCAAGAAACATTATATAATAACAAAGATGGAATAACAAGAAACTCTGATAGTTATACTACGACTGCTAGTTTGAAAGAATAAGCGAGACAACTCTCAACTATTTAACTAGCCCTTTACACTAATATGTGTCCTCCATGACCTCCTATTTAAAGCCATGTCCCTGTAAAGCTAAAATTGTGTCATGTATTATCTAATTACATCTCTCCAATATTTCTCCAACCTACTCTCACACCTACGCACTAAGACATCCGTGCATCTCCTCTTCACATGCTCGAACTATCCTAGTCTCGCTTCCGCATCTTATCCTCCATCGAGGCCGCTCCTACCTTGTTCCAAATATCTTCATTTATAATCTTAACTCTCATAGTATGCCCATGCATCCATCTTAGCATTCTCCTTAATCTCCCTAGTTTATTTAGCCTCCGGGCACCTCCATGGAACCTTCCTTAGAACTTTGTCATAAACCTTTTTTAGGTCGATAAACACGATGTGGAGATTCCTCTTCTTCTCCCTATACTAATCCAATAGTCTCCTAACCAGATAAATGACGTCTGTAGTTGAACTTTCATACATAAAACTAAATTGATTCTCGGAAATAAACACGTCTCTCCTTACCCTTATCTCCACCACCCTCTCCCAGACCTTTATACTATGTCTTAGCAACTTGATATCCCTATAATTGTTATAATTCTTAATGTCACCCTTGTTATTGTATAGTGGGATCATCATATTCCATCTCCATTCTTCTAACATCTTATTTTTTTGTCTTAAAACCACATTGAGAAACCCCTTGTACATGGATTATTAATTGAACATCTAAATTTTTCACAATCTTAACTACCCCTTTAACTTGATTATTTGATAGCATCTAGCCACTACACAATTTCTATAGTATCCAACATGGTCTCTTTGTTCTTTTGAATCTATTTTCCCAGTTTGAACCTTTTCGTAGTTTTATCATGTTGTTTATGACTTGTGAGAATATGTGACCCGATTGCTGAGGTAATCTCAACATTCACATATTTATGATCAAGTGTTCTATAAAGCAAGTAATCTGTAAGTCATATAGCATGCGAGTTTGATGCACTCACACCCAATCGTGATGATAGTAGTTAATCTAGGAGCTAAAGCTCAAAGAAGATGAAGGCTAATTCAGGGTACAACCGAGAAGATTAGCTGAGAAGATGTAGAACAAAGAAGAAAGAATAGAGTGATATTGTTCATGAATGATGATTCAGTACATTTCCCATGTATTTATACAACTAATCAATGGGTAAAATGACTAAAGAAGAATACAACAAAAGAAACTAACTAACTAATTTCTTGACACCTAACTAACTAATTTGTTGACAACTGAACAGTGTTAACTGCCTAACAATTCTAACAGATTTCCATATTTCTTTACATTTATTTAACTCGACTACAATACTCGCCTACACATACTTGCATCAATAATACCCCCTATTTGAAGAATAGCCTTGTCCTCAAGGCTGGAATGCAAGAAATCGATGTTGTAACTCTGTGAAAATTTCCTAGGTGGCCTGAGCTGTATCAATGCCCAGCCATTTAACCAACACCTGACAAACAACCTTATTACCCCTCTTGATCATCCTCCTCTATAATATAGCCTCAGGCAAATGATAGTACGGACTAGACATATGCAACACTGGAGGGTGATTGAGGACAGCAGGTACTTCATGACATTTCTTCAGTGATACATGAAAAGTAGGATGGATCAACACATCAGCTGGGAGCAACAATTTATAAGCAACTTCCCCAATCTTAACAACAATCATATAGGGACCAAAGTACTTAGCAGCGAGTTTGTTGAAAGGTCTAGTGGCCACCGAGAACTGCCTGTAAGGCTGTAGCTTTAAATAGACCTAATCACCCATACTAAACTGTCTGTCAGACCTATGTTTATTGGCCAGATCTCTCATTCGTTGTTGGGCCTTGGATAATTGGAACTTCAACAAGGCAATAATAGCTTCCCTAGCCTCCAGAGATCTATCAACCATCTCATTAGAGGGTTCACCAGCCAAATAGGGAAGATGAATAGGTGGCTTTTGACCATAAAGAACTTCATAAGGGGAGCATTTGATAGCTGAATGATAGGTTGTGTTGTACCACCACTCAGCAAGAGACAAGTGAGCAATCCACTCTAAGGGTTTATCTAAGCAAAAACACCTCAAATAAGTCTCCAAGGTCTTGTTCAAGACCTCAGTCTGACCATCTGTTTGAGGATGGTAGGTTGTAGATTTATGCAACTGAACTCCTTGCAAGGTGAACAATTCTTGCCAAAAGGAACTCAAGAAAACAGGGTCTCTATCACTGACTATAGTAGAGGGCATACCATGCAACCTAAACACATTGTCCAAAAAGTTTTGAGCTACAGTTTGAGCTACAGTTTGAGCAGTGTACGGATGTTGCAAGCAAATGAAATGGCCATACTTACTCAACCTATCATCCACCATTAGAATGATATCCCTGCCTTTGGATTTAGGCAAACCCTCAATGAAATCTAAGCTAATGTCAGTCCAAACACCTTCAGGGATAGGTAGAGGTTGAATTAAGCCATGATAAGCTGAGGCATCATACTTGTGTCTCTGGCACACATCACATCTATTAATGAAACTCCTGATATCCAGAGCCATGCTCTTCCAGTAAAATAGGGATTGCAATATTCTAATGGTAGCATCCATTCCAGAGAGGCCACTCTGAGGTGTAGAATGCCACAACTGAATAATGTGTTCTCGCAACTGAGAGTCAGATCCTACCACCAATCTTCCCTTCCACCGAAGCTGAGAATTAATCCAAGTGAAGGATTTATAAGGTTACACTAACAGTTTAATGATCAAGGTCTGTAAAGCAGCATCAGAAGTCCAAGATTGCTGAATCTGGCAGAAGAGTGTATCATGGGGTGTAAGCAAAGATAAAGCCAATAGTTCTGCCCCTTGATTCCTCGAAAGAGCATCAACAGCCTTGTTGTCCAGTCCCTTTTTGTATTCAATATTAAAGTCAAAAGCCATGAGCTTTGAGATACCAGCCACCTGGAAATCAGTATGTATAGTCTGTTTTAGCAGATGTTTCAATGCCTTCTGGTCAGTCCTGACAATGAAGGGTCTGCTTAACAAATAATGTGACCACTTAGTAACAGCAAAAACCAATGCCAACAATTCTCTATCATAAACACACATGGACTGGTGTCTAAGGGGTAGTGTTTTACTAATTTAGGCAATAGGGTGCCCCTGCTGCATTAGTACAACACCAATACCTGTACCACTTGCATCTGTCTCAATAACAAAAGGTTCAACATAGTTTGGCAAGGCCAGAACAGAAGCAGTTACTAAGGCTTGTTTGAGATTCATGAAGGCTGCAGTAGCTTCTTTAGTCCAAGCAAATTTGTCTTTTTTAAGTAAGTCATGTAGAGGTCTGCATATAGCTCCAAATCCCTTGATGAATCTCCTATAATACCCTGCTAGACCAAGAAAACCTCTGAGTTTCTTGATAGTAGTAGGCAGTTCCCAGGCTTGAACTGCATATACCTTCTTAGGATTAGTTGCTACTCCCTTAGCACTGATAAAATGTCCTAAGTACTCCACTTCTTTTACCCCAAAAGCACACTTAGATGCTTTAGCATACAACTGATAATTCTTCATCAACTCAAACACAGTTCTTAAGTGATCCACATGAACAGACATATTTCTGCTATAAACCAAAATGTCATCAACGAAAACTAACACTGATTTTCTGAGTAATGGTTTGAAAACTGAATTCATAAGACTTTGGGATGAAGGAGCATTGGTTAACCCAAAGGGCATTACCAAGAACTCATAATGACCCTCATGAGTTTTGAAAACTGTTTTATGCACATCAGATTCTGCCATTCTCAATTGGTGATAGCCAGCTCTAAGATCAATCTTAGAGAACACCTCAGCACCCCCCAAATCATCCAATAGACCCTCAATAATAGGGATGGGGAATTTATCCTTCATTATTAAATGATTCAGATCCCTATAATCAATACAAAGTCTCCAACTACCATCCTTTTTTCCAACTAACACAACTGGGGATGCATATGGACTAGTATTGTGTTGTACAACCCCTTGATCTTGCATCTCATGTACCAACTTATCAATAATATCATT